AAAGCGCGCATGATCTTGAATTTTTGAACTTTAAAGATACACACTCCAGAATATACAATTTAACATCCAAAGTAATCAAAATATGAAACTTTTGTAATTATTATACTATGTATTGCAATTATGTGTATTTGGAATAAAAATGGACGGGGTCATAAAGTGGGAATGGCAGTTCTTATTATTGACTATTTTTTAATTAATTAGAAATAAATATGGGTGGAATCGGAATAGTGTGTATCTTCTATTAAAATTAGTACTTTTAACCCTTTCCGTGGTTTTGTCGAATATATTCGACATTACAATAGACTCTGTTTTTTTTTAGCATTTTTTGGGTATAATATTTAACTTTAGTTTTAATTTTTTTCTTTTAGATGAAAATGAAGACTTTATTATATTTATAATTGAGATTTTGAAAGATCTTCCGTATTTTAAAAGTATTTAAAAATTAGATTTTAAGAAATTGTCACTTATGACTACTTTTTAAAAAGTGCTTTTTAACAACGTTTAAAAAACAGCTTCATTTAATGACAAAAAAAATGTATTTTAGTAGATCGGACTATACAGATTTAAATTGTATTGTATTGAAATAAGTTTAATAAGACATTCTACAAAAAAATCATAAAAAATATTGGTGGTACTTTTTGGAGACTGTTTTTCGAATGTCGAATATATTCGATATTTAACTTTGACCTTCTATAACTCACTAGGGAAAACTGAAATTCAAAAAATTTTCCCGGATTCAGCATACTCAAATTATCTTAAATATGTATAAGTTTTCAAGTTTTTTTCTAGACATAAATTATTTTTGACCCTGAAAGGGTTAATTAATATCTAGAATAAATCTTGTCCCAAAATTGTACTCGAGTAATTTCATTTTCATTTTACGTAATTTATATAAAAATTAGCGGAATTAAAATAGTGAGAGTGGCACTTCCTAAATATTAGCGCAATATATACACTGAAACTAATCCATGCTTTTTCGTAATATATACGAAAATTTCGTGTACAATACGAAATATTATTTACTCAACCCCTATTCTAATTTTACGAAAGTACGAAAACCTATCGTATTATCTTTTCTCGTATGTATTAAGGAAACTTTGTTTTATTTTAAAACAATAATTTCGTTAAGGCATGCGATATTTAACGAAAGTCGAATTTTTTCGTAACAAAATTAGTTAGTAATATACATATAATTATTTTGCATTATACTAAAATATTTCGTACAATTTCGTATATATTACGAAAGAATTTCGTGGTGCGAAACCACTAAGCATTTCGTACAATGTACGACATTTTTAGGCATGGATTATTTTCAGTTTAGTGGGTGTGGCGTTTCACTTGAAAAGTAACTTTTTATTATTAGCAAGTAAGAGTGCTATATCGTCAGTATATTATTGGTTTGACCCATACGCCAAACACTTGTTATTGAAAAAAACGAATAAGAAGGTTTAGATAAACTTTTCTCAAAATTTACGTGATAGATTTTTTTTTAATTTTCACACTTGATTTTGACATATGTTTTGAACAAAATTATAGATTTACACACCGTTATGTAAAATTGAAAAAAGTTATTAAGATTTTATTTTTGTTTTCCCTTTTTAGAGTCTATATCCATACAAAATGATTATTTTTTTATGACCACCATCGAAAAAGATCCGAACGAAAACAGCTAGAAGGCTGAAATTTTTCACAAATATTTTTTATTGATGTAGGTTGCTTGGTATTGAAAATGGACAGTATCGGACAACAATTTCACCCATAGCCCCATATACATACATAAGTGTCCGCCCAGAATACAGTTTAAATAGTCAAACCTGGCTTAGAAATACCAGTATAGCGATGAAATTCAACAAAAACTAGTTTTATAGAAAGCACAAACACTACCAAATTTTATGAGGATTGGCCCATAAGTGACCCTACCCCTCATATATAGTCTCCATCAAAAATGACTTTAACTATAGGCTTAAAAATGTCATTATAATGATGAAAATCGAAATAAGAACGTTCTATAGTAACCAAAATGTTTCAACCAAATGGTTTGAATATTGGTCTATATCTCTTTCCCGTATGTACCTATATGGGACACCGGTGTCCCAAGATTTTTTTTAATTTTTCTTGATGCAGAGCGTAATTTTGAGTTCACAGCTACAGTAAATAGTTATTTCCATAGAAAATTAAGTTCTTTTTTAGAAATTGATGGCACCGCAAACTAAAATGATAATCTCCTTCGATAAGTATTCCAAAAACCTAAAAATATTAGTTACCTATTTCTATATCCCATAATACATTCGAAATCTGCTATGTTGGATGAACATTCTGATGGTGTTTTTATAGATAGTAAATCTTCATCAAACATCCTAATGGCATGGAACTATAACAAAATATCAGACAAATAATTAAATACTACTTAATTAATAATTTCTTCGGAAAAAAACGGAGCTGGTGATGAAAATTGCATTTTTTTATTCGGCACTCAAATTATTTATGAATTGTTGTTGTTTATGTGCAAAATTTTCACTAAATTTGTAAGATGGGGTTACCAGACCAGCACATATTTTATATGTATACAAAAACTGTCAAATTATGTATGCTGAAAAATAACAATCAGTGTAATAGATCTGTCAAAATCCATATACAAATAATGTAAACAAGAGTTTTAAAAACACCTTGTTATGTGTGCTTTTATCTACGTTTTTGTTATGGCAGTGAAGCAAAACAATAGTGATTAATTTGTTTTTAATTTTTGTATGAAAATTGTGGTCTATACGCCAAACAGTGGCATATGGAGCAAAACAATATTTATTTAGTGTCTAAAAAGTTAACACCCGATATCTCGGAAATCGTATCAAATATTGGAAAGAGGATGTCCAAATTATATACAATCCACTCCTAACTCAATTTTTGTAAAAATGGTCGATGGGTCAAACCAATAATATACTGACGATATGTGAATCTTATACATTATGGCATTTTTAATTCTTTAAAGTTTTTTTAACATTTACTTTTTTTAATTAAAAAAAATACGCATTTTATAAATTGCATCACGCCTAGGGTTTCCAAATTATCGACGTTTTTTGATTCCCGGAAATCGGGAGAAAAATATTCACATTTCCGGGATCTCGGGAATTCCCGATAAAATAAAAAATAATTTAAAAATGGTTTACGCGATGTTTTATTGAATTTTATTTTTAACATATCAGGCAACTTAGAAATATCCCAGCAAAATCTTTGCTTACAATGATTACCATTAAGTTCTTTATTAATGACTTATACCCAATTTACACTACACCGAAATTCAGAAGATTTCAATCGAAAGCTTTCTTTAAATCTAGACCGTTTACACGTATTTTTGACATTTAGGAAGATTTTATTTTTTCTAATATTTCTCCAAGTTGTGTTTGATATGAAAAATTCGAAGGAAATATGGAAAATTTACTTGAATTTCATTTAGAATAAAAAATAGATATTTAAATATTACATTATCTTCTATTTAAAATTAACTTTTCATTATGTTTTCCAATTTATTCAAATTTGATTTTTCTTGTTTGATTTTTCTTTGTTTGTTTTATTTTTCTCTTTTTTCTTGTGCAGCGTCGTATTTTTTAGTATTATGTATTTAGGAAAAAACAGAGTTTTCTTTTTATTTTTACTAGATTTTGAGTCGATTTTGGCAAAGGCTACTAATGAAGTAGATTTTGTTTTGTATTTGAAATCTAGTTAAAATTAACTAGACTTGCTTGAAATCTCATAAGTACTAGATTTCGCTGTAGTGTAAATGGGGTATTATTTTGTAGGTAAAGTAAAAAAAATCAAAACAAAGAAACAAACAAAAAATAAAACAGTTACTTTTTCTTTTCTTCCTATTTTGTGCAAATGTATATTTTTAGACGAACAGATAATAAAATATTTTTTTTTAAATATTATTTTTTTATATTTTTTTTTTTAAACTAGCATTTTTTCAAAAAACTCCCATTTGTTTTTGCTCAGAAGAAACCTTAGACAATTTCCTTTAAGAGCTTTATAGTCCAAATTGGGATGCGAGTGGGATATCTTTAAAAAAAAAATTATTTTTTTTTTATCTTAAGAATAAGATTTTTTCAATATATGGCTCTTAATTTTCCCCTATTTTTTCAAAAAGCTATGTTTTTAAGTTAAAATATTATTTTTTTTTTTTTACATATGCCCCTTGCATCCCACTAATTGACCACAAAGCTCTTATATAAAATCAGGGTTGGCAATAGTTTTGAAGCAGTGAAAAGATAAGGGTATCGGTTTTTGGATTACTTCGGTAACGTTATTTTAGCGGTAATAGAAGTGAGATAAAAAGGTATTTTAAAGGAAAAAAGAAAAGGGTATTTAAAGAAAAAAAAAGAAAAAATTATTTAAACATGATATAAAATAACGGTGATTCGGTAACGATATTTTAGAGATAACGGTAGTAGAGCCGAGGAAACGATAGATAAGCTTTATTTAAATAAAGTAAATAAAATACTTTATTATTATTTTTTTTAAATACATACATATGAGTATGTCTGTATTGAAGCGCCCGCGGGCAACTTTTTGAAGGAATACCTGTCCGATTTTAAATAGGAAACTTCTCGAAAGTATGAGTGATAGAATATTGAAGATTTAGATCTCAAAGATATCTGGGGGGTCTTCTGAAAATTGATTTCAACAGAGAGACAGGCAGACGACAAAGAGAAAGACAGACGGACATGGCTTAAAAAAAATGTGGGTGTGCTGTGTCAATTACATGCAACAGTTTCATTTGTCCTGTGAGTTTGGTCGCGGCCACTTTACAATAGGTTTGTAAAATACGAGTTAATAGAATAAAAAAATATTTTTTTAATTAGTATTTTACATCTGACATACAATTTAAATTGCCTTTAACTATGTTGGAAGCTACATATGTAATGTGTAATGTTATTAATATTATTCCATTGATTTATACATATTACACAAATTTCCTAATAAAACATACATATATTTTCTTATTACAGATGATGCATACAAGTATATCACAAATCTGTGCTATACTTTATGAACTTCCCCCTAAAACTACGTGCTTGTATAATAATAAGGATTGTCGTATAGAAATCTATAATACACTTTATGCTATACTTATGACTCCACATTACTTATGTCCACCACCAACTGATATGGCTTTAACAATTATTCAGACAGCTTACGCACGAGATGATAGTCTTAAAGTTCGAAACCGATGTTGTTTTATATTACAAAATGTAGAAAAAATAATTCATCCACAAAAAGAAAGTTTACTTTTTACAATCGAAGCGAGAGATATACGCAATACATTCATCAAAATGGGCCAAGAGAGTTTACTACAAGAATTTAGATATGATTTCAACAACTCATCTAATAATAATAGTGATGTTTTAGAATTAAACGAAACTACAAGTTCGGAATTTATAAATACATCAGTAAATAATCATGTACATGATGATAATGCACAAGATGATTTAGAGTATAAAAACAAAAGTCAGACAAATGTCGACATAATTTCTACAAACACTCAAACACTTCAAAATCATAACGTGAATGAAGAAGATCCACTTAAGGATCAACCTAATGAAGATTATGAATTGGAAGTTACTATGGATCAAGTGAATAGTAATGATTCTTTGCCCAGAGCAATTAATAATTCAAATATTGTCGAAAATATAAGTAAATCTCAAGATGAACTAACCATTAATGACGATACTAATATTGCCACACTGTGTGTCGAAGAGTCAAACTGCGATCTTATTAGTGATGAACCAACTTCGAAAAAGCAAAAACTTGATAATGAAAATGAGGAAAAAAATGAATTACAAACTGTTCAAACTGAAATTATCAGCAACAATGTTAGCATAATGGATAATGAAGATGACTTACTAGCTGATATTGCATCGCAGTTTGTGGATGAATTAAATTAATAATTTTTGAATTAAAAGGAAAAACTATTTTTATTAAAATAAAAAATTTTTAATAAATAATAAAATAATAATGCATAAAATATATATTTAATTATTAATTTTTATAACATTTATCATTTATCACCATTTCAAAGGTAGCACTAAGTGCATTTTTTTTGCTTTCTGTGGAAGCAAAGCTCTAAAAGAATTCATTCCCTAATTATTTTTTTGAAATTGAGTTATATTTTAAAGAATTAACAATTCTTCAAACGCATTCCCTTTGATTTAATTCCTAGAATTAATTCTTAAAGCTTTCGATGTAGTTGAATTAATTCTCTAATGAATTAATTCCTATAGAATGTTAAATTCCTTCTGAATAAATTAATTTTGTTTGCATTCAATCTGTTACAAATTGAATTAAAATAAATTTCAACAATTCCTATTGATTTTTAAATTCCCTCTGAATGATATAAATTTTGTTTGAATTCAATCTATTACAAATTGAATTTAAAAATTTTTCAACCATTTAATTTGAAATAGATTGAATGAAAGTTTTGTTTTATAATTCAAAAGCATTCTGTATATTAAAAATTGAATTACAATTTTTTCCTTTCATTCAATTTGTAATAGAAGGAATTAAACAAATATGAATGATCATTCAATTGAATTCATTCCTATAAAGAATGAATTCTCTTAGGAATTAATTCAATGGAATATAAAGCCAAGAAATTCAGCTTTAGAATTTAAATTCAAAGAATGATTTTAAAGAATGGTACATTCAAAAATTTAAAGCCGAAGAATCGAAAATAATTATATTTTTTAATTATGAAGATATCCCAGCAAAAAAAGTGAGGAAAAAGAAGTAGAATTTTAACCACAAATAACATACTTGAAGTACTTCCAATTTTGCTGAAAACCCTATGAATTTTACATTAGCGTGTCATTGGAGGGATGTTCTTCAATTTTGACAACTTTGAACTATATCTAATCTTATTTTTAGAAGCAGTAAAAATTCGATATTTGGATGTCAAAAATAAACCACATTCTTTCATTGGCATGCTTATGTAAATTCTCTGGTTTGATGTACTGTAGTGTGATTTACTTCGAATATATTATTTGTAGTGGGTTTTCTACATCTCTATCCTCACTTTTAACTGGGGTTTCATTTGTAAGGAAATATTTGGTTTATAAAAGTGAAAAATATGTAATCGCATTTTTGGATGTGATTAAGATGTCGTTTGTAAAGGATGACATCAACTATTATTTGCTGTGATTTTTTTCTTACATTTTTATGAGTTAAAAATCGTATTTTTGAGATTTTGTATTAAATGTGTTTATTTCTCTTATTAATGTTAATATGTACTATTTAAGTCAAATTAGTTGTGTAATATGTACTAAAATTTTACTTCCAAAAAAGGACATAAAAAAGGTATTTTTCATGGACCGTAACAGTTATAAGTTATACCAAAAAAGTTAATTTATAACAGTTATTTTGTGACTTTAAAATTAAAAATTCATCTGAAAAAGTTATTTTTCAACCTAAAAATAAAAATTCAAATGAAACTTTTAAAAAAAGAGTTTTATTTTTCCGTCATAAAATAAAAATTATTTAATTTAATTTTAATTATTTCATCTTCAATAATAATGCCTTCCGAAGAAATTAAAAAAGCTTGTGTTCATACATAAAAGAAAAATTACCATTTGCCGTTTTTGATTCAGATGTTTTCAACGACAGTACAAATCAACTATTTAATGGACTTGGTCAGATATACTCAATAAAATAAGAGACTGAAAAAATATATAAAAACATTGTTTAATTTTTTGACTGGGAAAACAAAACTCCCCAAATGAGTGTTATTTTCTGATGGAAAAAATAAAACTTTGAGGAGTTGTTATTTTATGACGGAAAAATAAAACTCATTTTTTAACTGTTTCAATCAGACTTTTATTTTTGCGTTAAAAAATAACTGTTATTTGTAGATATATATATTCTGAAAAAGCACTTCAATACGATTATATTGGTATATAATAGTATAGGTCTACGTTGACTCGAATATAGAGATTTTTTGAGTTAAAAATTTCAGAATAACTGTTATTTACAGTCCCTGGTATTTTTCAATACTTCCATGGAGTAAATTTTACTTCTTTAAATAAAATAAAAAAATAAGAAATGAAATGGAAAATCATTACATAATTAATTATCCTGCATAAAATAAACATTTAATTATTCATTTTAATAACATTTATCAACTTCAAAAGTAGCACTCTGTGAATTTTTTTACCTCCTGCAGAAGTGATATTTAATGACTTCCAAAGAAGTGAAAATAATTCTATTTTCTCAGTGCTGAAGATATATTTTTATTGTCTTAAATTTTTATGACTTAAAAAATGTTATTTTTTAGATTATGTATTAAATGTGTCAAATTAGTTGTATTCTATAATACTGGAATTTCACTTCCAAATAACTTCCAAATTTTTGTCCAATTTTTAAACCATGGACAATAGGGCGGTATTGTCAATTATAGACCGATTGTCGTAAAATTTGGTAGATAGATTTCGGTTCGTATAACACTTGTTTGTTTCGAATTTCATCATTGTACTCATATTTTTAGTTCAGTAATAAGCCTTAAAGTAAATTTGTGAAGGTCTGAATGATTGAATTGAAAAGTAACTCATTATTTTCTAGGGGAAGTTTATCAGTTTTTTCCTCCCAGCTATAGCTATATAGTAACTATTGTCTACCACCTGGGAATATTGTATTTTCCGGGACCAAAAACGGAAAATAAAAAAGTAAAAGTTACGGTGCAGGGTATAAATAATCCAGTACCGGCGGTAAATATTGATCTGCTTGCGTGTCGTCGTCATCCTGGATACATTGACCTCCGTGGCGGACAATGCGTCAAGTGTACAGCATACCATTGGCAAAAACACAGAGGTGAAAGAGAAGGATGTACTCGGACAGACCTCTAAGCTTTTTTAAATATAGGTGAGGGTTCCGACTATGAATCCTCAGATGATAATAACAACACCATTACAGCATATCCCAAAAATGATGAAGTAGAGCAAATCGCACACCCAGTACTAAAGTGACTCAACTCAAAATTTGTTTGCGTTTTTATATTATTTAAGCTTTATGTTTAAGTCTTAAACTAGATACTTGTTTATCTCTAAAAAATATTAGTGTAAAAAATATATTACATATATATATACATAATTTTGTGCCATAATTTAGCTTTATTTCAAAGCATATTAGGCTTCACGCAATATTTTTGAAATTGTGATATCATACCTTTTATGAAAGTTTTTGGAACAGCGCTAATATTGGCGTAATTATTTTGTTAAAATTTCAACTCCTTCATCTGCATATCTGCGGCCAAAATACCGATTTTGGGCGACATTTTTTTATAGACCGAAAACTGCTGTACATATTTCAAATCTGAATTTAGTATGCTATTCTACAGGAAAATTTAAGATATATAAACTTAATTTGACAGAATTTAGATGCACTATAAATGTATAAGAGCAAAAGAAAAAATGCAATTTAAAAAAAAATCAAAACCTGATTTTATCATTCGTAAATATAATATTCAATGCCCTTAAAAAAATAGTGTTAAAATTTTTAATTTATTGTAATCCCTTTAGGAGTTATGATGGTTATAATGTTGGCTTGTGGTTTAATAATTTCCCATCAAACAATGGTGTTTTTCATCATCATCTCCGAATTTAATAAAACTCCATCCAATTAATGTTTCATTAATAACTTGTATAATGACAAATTTTGGTGCTTATAACTTTCGTGGTTTTCGATATATAGCGTTGTAAAGTTTAAAATCTGAAAATTTAAAGTCTCATCACATCTAAAGACTTAATGATAAAATTTTTGTTTTTGCACCATTTGTCTCAGCAAAAAGCATACTTTGATTATGCATAAAGAAAAAAATTGTTTGAGATATTTTTTGAAAAAAGTGCATCTTTGGATGATACTAAATGCACTTTTGAAGCATTATAAAAGTGTGAAATTAAGCTCATTCTTATTGATTTTTCCTATAAAATCAATTATTTGAGCATGATTTCCTATAAATTCTACAGTTTCTGCTCTGTAAAAAATGTCGCTCAAAATAAGTGGTTTCCGCCTCAGATATGCAGAGGAAGGAGTTGGAATTTTGAAAAAATTATTACAGCATAGTAATCACTGATACAAAAACCTTCTAAAAAGTTGTGATATCACAAAAACGGGAAACATTTTGTTTTTTGAAACGAAGCCTAGTAATTATATATGTACATAATTACACATACTGAAAATTTTAGTATGCTTTGAAATAAAGTGAAATTATGTTACTTCAAACATAATTTTCAAGAAAAAAACCTTTATGAAGACAATCCTTAAAGAGTACAGATCACGTTAGATTAAAAAAATGTGACAAGAAAAATGCATATAGTTTAAATCTTTAAAATATCGGAGCAGACCTAAGTCCATTTAAGGTTGATACTAGGGTATTCAAACGATTAATCGTCGATCGGTTAATCGATCAATTTTTGACGATTAATCGTTCGAATAAATTAAAATTGCCAAATTTCAAATAACAAATAAACCTAATATTTTCTATCAAATAACCGATTAAGGAAAAATTACTTGTAACAGTAAAATTGCTATATATTTTATAGAAAATTCAATATTTTTATAATAAATTTTCTTCCTTTATTAATTCTTTAATTATTTTCAATAACGAAGAAAATTTATTTGATGATTTCAATAACAATACTTCAGAAACATTTTAGGAATTTGTTCTAATTTACCTACTTCTAGAATGTATTCGTAAAGAAACACTTTAGATTCTTGAAACCAGTTTTGAAGAACATTGTTGTGTTTTTTAAGAATTTCTAATAAGTTCTTCAGCAATAGTTATACACTAGGGTGGGTCGAAAAAAAAAGTTGAGTCAGTCACCCCCTACGATTAAAGATATGTTAATAACATTTCCAAAAATATAAAAAATATTTTTTTGCCACGCCTAGAAATACCGCCCTTTTTGTTTTTTATATATAACGTCGCCATTTTAAGTCCGATCGTAACATATGATATATCAATATTTATGGCTTGACTG